TAGTTGACATACCAAGAGCTGATGACAAGTTTACAAGTACTTGGTCAGGCGTTGACTTCGAGTTCACTTTCCAGAGGGAATCGCGAACCAAGAACACTTAAAATTCCGGAATTACTCCCAGTGTTCACTATTTGCATTGTAAGATGAAAGGTAACTGAATTATCTTGTTTGTCCTGAAAGCTACTTGATAAACTTAGTTGTGTTAACAGCTCTGTGCGGAGCAGTTTAGTAGTAAAAATGACCGCGCTGTTGATGCCATAGTTTAACTCTTTCTTTACCAAAACATTGAAGGTTTACAGTAACTAAATGAAGTATACAAGTAAGATACGTTATTGTAGAGCATTACATAAGTTATTAAAGTTATTATTACCTTAAGTTATATAATAACTCCTAGGAAGGAATGTCTCTCTGCTCCAATATATCAACTCTTCGTGTAACGAAAAAAAAAACAAAAAAAAACGCTGACCTTCATTTTTTGCCCAATTTTTGCTTCCATATTGTGACAAGAATTTTATGGCTAAAGGTTTTGTTTTGTTCTGTTAAATAATTATGCCACCTCATAGGCTCTATTTGCTATGTATTTCTTAGCCATGCTACATTTTACCTGAAAACAAAGTTTTGATTACTTGAATTGGGTTATATCGGATTGAAGAACACTCCCTCTGTGGTGTGAGCAGACTCTCAGTATCTAGTTATTTTAAACCTCTCCATTTCTAGCTTATACAGTGATTTCCACCTTGTTTCCAAAATATAAATAAATAAATAAATAAATAAAATCTCTTGGTTTCACTTTTCTTTGCCACTAAACAAACGTGATATCTTACTGCAATAAAAGGTTGTTGCGTCGTCATTTGTTTCAAAGTCACTGAAAGTGCTCGCAGAGCGAGCAAACCATTAACACAGTTAAACGGTGAATTTACTGCAATGTTTGCGGGTGCAACAGAGAACCACCAATTATTTTAATACCAGAAACAAAAGAGATACGGTTCGTAATGTTTGAGGTCAGACTCTCAATGTCCAATAAAATTTTCACTAGTTTAACTGGGGCTAAACCTAGCAACAGCATGCTGTTGCACCCGACAGAATTGTTTAGGATTGTATCAATCAACCAAGGAAGATTTCTGCTGTTATTATCTCTCAGGACTTTGTAACAGAGAAAAAAGTTATGCGTTGCATATGAACAGTACAATGTCTTACGTCTTTGGTTTCTTGTTTTTGTCTTAAAGGAAAGCAGACTATGAACCTGACAGTCAAAGTCGGCGGACCTCTGCCTTTCGCTTTCGATATCTTGACAGCAGTATTCGATAACGGCAATAGGGTATTCGCCCAAAAGACATACCAGACTATTTCAAGCAGTCGTTTCCTGAGGGGTATTTCTGTGAACGAAGTATGACTTATGAAGACGGGGGCATTTGCATCGCCGCAAATGACATAACGTAAGTAACATGCAAAGCTGATTCCTCCCGATAAGAAGATAAACTCTTTTGTTCTCGTCGAGTCACTTTAATTTAATTTCTTTATCTTTTGTTGTCATTTTTTTCCCTTTCGGTACAGTTTTAACTTTCTTATTCCTTTCTTGTTTTATATGGACTGCAAAGTAAAGTGTAAATTACAAGTTTAAAACATTTTTCCAAAACAGTTCTCCTTGTGTATAAAAAATGGGAAGACTGATAAAAGAAATCGCCCCTGGTTTCATCTGATATCATGTATTAAATTATATTGCCAACTATACCTGTAAGTGACAAAGTGTTCCTTTTATCTTTGCATGGTAACACTGACTAGGTCTCATTTCTTTTAATTTTATCAGAATGAAGAAAGACGTCAACAACCGTGACTATTTTTTCTATGAAGTTCGATTTGATGGGGTGAACTTTCTTACCAATAGTCTAGTTATGCAGAAGAAGACCGTGAAATAGGAGCCATCCACTGAGAAAATGTATATGCGCGATGAAGTGCTGGAGGCTGATGTTAACATGTTTCTGTTACTTGAAGGAGGTGGCCGTTACCGATGTGACTTCAAAACTACTTACAAGTAAGATTTTTTTTTATTTATAATGTGCGTTTGAGATATTGTTGACTCACAATAAGGAATAAACGACGAAATTTCATCAAGATATGAATATTTTTTAATGATCACTGTTAGAGTGGAATCAGTGACCGTAGCTCCAACTGCTGGATTATGGACAACTCATGTCGGGATTGGTGTTGAACACGACTCCACAGCTATCTGAATCTCAAAGGCAAGATCCAGGTATTTACCCAGTAAAACAATCTTACCGACAAAAAAAAAATTAAATAAATAAACTAAACTTTTGTCAGGATAGTCAACTTCGGAAGCTGGCAACAAAAGTGGTAGGAGCTTTCACTTTTGAAACGGTATTGTATTTGTTATATGCTGATCGATGCGCCGAACCTAGTGTCACTAATTCGAGTTCCTTTGCTCCTTCGCAGAGTTAAGAAGGTTGTCCAGTTGCCAGACTATCACTTTGTGGA